TCGGATGGTGTACCAGTCGCTAGGACTAATTGTTTCCGTGAATTTTTGGTTTTCTTCATTTTTCTTCGCTCTGGACGAGGAGAGACCCATCATTGCATCTAGATGGCAGCTTGCTAGCTTTTAGGATCACAGTCGCTACTCACCACCGTAGGAGGTGGAACAATGTTTTGTGTAGTATGTTATGCCAATTGAGCTTGATGTCCTCTGCGACTATGGTCCCAAGCCCATAGGTTCAACTACTCGTTCCCTCTGTGTAGCTGGCTATGACCAACCGGTGACTACAACCTTGCCCCTTGTCAGCTCCATTATACAGCTGGGAATTCATATTACACACATGAAGTTAAAGGACCATTGCATGCAGACATTCTTACAGCACATACAAATATACATGTGGAAACATTGTCTGCCAACCCTGTACATGGTCACAGGTACACTCCCACCAGGGGTATAGATTTATTCTAACTCAACTTTCAAGAAACTGATTGACAGAATGAAATGAAAGCTATACTTTGTTGAACATCTGAGCAAAGGAACTAGAATAGTCTAAGGAACAACTGAGTCTGGATAGAATAAAACTTAATGGATTTTCCCTGTGCCATCTAAAAGACACATTTTTAGTGTCTTCTCAATACAAACTTTCCTCCTTTCTTTTCCTCTGGTAGAAGGTTGGATGAGCATTTATGTTCTTAGGTTCTACTTTTATGGTTTGTTTTGCTTGGTTTTGCCTTTATCATTATTCATGAAAAATTTCTATCATTTCAACATCTGTTCCAAACAGACATACTATAATTTTCTACATTCCACCCAATTTTCCATTAGTCTGATAAATTGCTGCCTTGTATTTCAAGTTAGGTGTCCTTGGCCCTTAGCTATGATTTAGAAAACATTCTTACTAGATATAATCAGCAACTTCTTAAATCATCTTAAGTAGAGATTTTAAATTTAAGAAATGGCTAATCTCATACATTTTATTTTGTTGTTAGCTTCTATTTCAGAGTGTTATTTTCTTATAATCCTAAATTCTGGAGGCCTATAGCCTTCTATTTACACCTGACATTTTATATACTTGAAACATCTAATTCTGCATTAGATTTTCTAGAATTTGAAACGTTGTCAGTTTTTCTTGCACTTGTTTCTAAATTGAGAGATTTGTTTTGCCCTTATATTCTGCCTATATACATCTGCAGTGCTTTTTTAAATAATTTATTTTTGTTGTTGAGAATATACATAGCAGTACACCAATTCAGCAATTTGAACATGTACAGTTCAGTGACATTGGTTATATTCTTTGAGTTGTACAAGCATTCTCACCCTCCTTTTCTGCATTCTTCCCCCATTTATAGAAATGCAGCGCCCCCTAAGCTCCTTGTGTAATCTTTCGATTTGCTGTTGTCACTTTGATCCCATATAGATAGATCTTAAAGATCCCAATGCTCAAGGCATATATTGTTTACTCTGATGGCGTAGTGCCTAATGCATTTGACTGCTAACCAGAAGGCTGGTGGTTCAAACCCACCAGCCACTCCTCAGAAGGAAGGTTTGGCAATCTACTTCTGTAGTGATAAACTGCCTCAGAAACTCAAGGAGGGGAGGGGTCGCTATGAGTTGGATCTGACTCGAGGGCAGTGAATTAGTGAGTTAATTAAGCTAAACTGTTCTTTGGTTTTAAGAAGACATCAGGGAACATTTTTGGTTTAAGATTTAAACATCACTCCAGGGCAGTAGTTGTGGGTGTTCATTCAGCCTTCATGGCTCCAGAAAGTCTGGAGTCCATGAGAATTTGAAATTTCTACATTTTATCTCCTTTTGACCAGAATTATTCTATTCCAGTACCTTTGACAGTCTTTAAACTTAAGTACAATCTTCTTTTTTTCCTCCAGTATTTTGAGAGTAAACATCAAAGTACGATGCTTAACTACTTTTTGTCTGTGTGTTCCAAGGTCAGAAATTATATCAAGGAGCATAGCCCTCGCCAACGGCCTGCAAGAGAGGCCTGGAAGAGAAGCAACTTTAGTTGTGCAAGCACCAGTGGAGTGAGCGGTGCCAGTGCCAGTGCCAGCAGCAGCAGTGCCAGCATGGTCAGTTCTGCAAGCAGCAGTGGGTCCAGTGTTGGAAACTCTGCTTCAAACTCCAGTGCCAACATGAGTCGAGCACACAGTGACAGCAACCTGTCTGCAAGTGCAGCAGAGCGGATTCGGGATTCAAAAGTAAAACGTCTAATCAATACAAAGTTTTACCTTTCAATATTAACATTAGTACTTCTTCATATAAATTTCTTGAAGAGTTAAAATTATCCTACTATCTAGATGCCTGTGGGTTTTGGTTTTAATTGACCAAGCAGGATGCTCTGCTATTGAACAAAGCATTCCAGGTTGAGTGCTTTGAAATACTGTTTTGACCCACAGGCATGTTCCATTCAATTTTATCTGATTTTTATGTCTGTTTTAAGTGAGATAAATTGATGGAAATAATGATTGATTGTCAAGATTGCAATATTGACTGCAACTCACTACTGAGCGAATCTCACTATGTTGCTGATGTTGCTGTCTATTAGCTCCTATGAATGTTCTGTATGTCTTGTGTATGTGTTAAATGTTTTCTTAATGTTTTAATCTTGAACGTTTCTTCTTAGCTAATTTAAAAATATAATAATGCTTTCTGTCATTTCTATCTGCTCTTTTTAACAGTTGAAAATACTCTATATGATACTGTTGGGTACTTAAGAAAGAAAAGGTATAAATGTATATAGAATGGTTCTGTGATGCATAGCAGGGGGGTTCAGTTCTTTGTAGTGGCAATAAAATCTGGAGCCAATTTAAGGATGAAACAAGAGATCGCTATACTCTATTTTTTAAATAATAATAATAAAGCACAAATAACATACAGGTGATATAATTTTTTTTGCAAAATGTACAACCCCCTTGCAATTTAGCTTCCTGTGCACTCTATGTGCATGCATGTTACTTATGTGGGAGCTCTCGTGGCATAGTGCCTAAGGCATTTGACTGCTAACCAGGAGGCTGGCAGTTCAAACTCACCAGCCACTCTTTGGAAGGAAGATTAGGCAATCTACCTCCATAGAGATACTGCCTCAGAAACCCAAGGAGGGGTTGCTATGAGTTTTAATTGACTTGACGGCAGTGAGTTTGGTTTAGTTATTTGTGTGGGCGCCTGATATGTGAAAAAACAACTCTTTGGGAACCCAGTGGTGACTTCAAGATGCACAGTACTTCCTTCCCTGGCTTTGACCAAAGCAGCAGAAACATAGCCAACTTTGTTGGTTGCTAAGTGATTTCTGTGGATATGTGGTCGTTTCATTTTGGCATCACTTCACCAGTGACAAAAGCTTAGAGTACCCGCTGGGTTCCCAGTGGGCTTTTAGATGGTATTAAGCTTTGCCAAATAAGAAAAAAAGCATGATTCTTTGAAATTTTAGCAATATTATCTACATTTGTATTCAGTATTATTCCATAGTATTAATTATATGCTTGCTACTCATTGACATTAGTGTACCTTAGTTTGATAAAATGTCTTCAAAGTGACTGGTTACCCACAACTAACCAAAGTGTTTCAGCCCTTCCTAATCAGCAGATTTGCTGGTCAAATACCATAAAAATATACTCTTGAAGAATCATTTTCATGTCTAAGTCAGTGGTTCACTTAATGCAACAAGGATTATACTGCAGAGGAATTTGAACATCTCTTAAAATTCTAGCAATATAGAATTTGACCCGTAAAACACTGTGAGGTGGATTTTCCAGAACCGAACCTCATTGATTTAAAAAATTTTTATTTTGACAGAAGCGTTCCAAGCAGCGGAAGTTACAGCAGAAGGCCTTACGCAAGAGGCAGCTGAAGGAGCAGAGGCAGGCTCGAAAGGAGAGGCTCAGTGGGCTCTTCCTTAATGAAGAGGTGCTGTCCTTGAAAGTGACTGAGGAAGACCACGAAGCTGATGTAGATGTTTTGATGTAATAAGGGTGAATTTATCAGTGTTCTGCCTAAGCATTAACCCTTTCATGACCCAATTATTTTTCCACTTTAAATTTTTCATGGATATTGTGTGTTTTCATCAGCAGAAGGCATGCTGACTCAAGGAGTGTTTCTGAAATCTTGTTAGGAAATTTGAATTTTGATGATCTATTATGTGAGACATATATGTCCCATTGGATTCTGGGGGTAGGGTTATGTAGGACACACTTGTCACTCTGAACTCTTGGGAGAGAATTATGAGGGATAAATATGTCACTCTGGACTTGGGTAGGATTAGTGGGACACATGTGTCCCTCTGGACTCTGCCTTCTACATCCCTTGGCAGGTGCATACCATTTGTTGTGTTGTTATGTGCCGTCGAGTCGGACCCGACTCCTAATGACCCCTCCTTGGGTTTCCGAGGTGGTATCACTATGGAAGTAGGTTGCCCAACCTTCCTTACTGCCAGCCTTCTGGTTAGCAGTCAAGTGCCTTGGACACTGTGCTACCAGAGCTCCCGCATACCATTTAGAGGCCCTGAAAATGCAGTATTTGTGCGAATATGAAGTCATGGTAAGGAAAGCAACTTCCAAATAATACACAGGAACCCAGAAATATACTTGCAAGGATTATCTCCCATAAAAAAGGCAAAAGAGACAAAAGTTTTACAAAATCACACCTCCAGGATGTATCATCACCTCATACAATACCTTATAAAACAATGGTGATTTGTGGCACACGCCCATTTCTTCCCTTTCATACAGTTAAACAGGTCCCCTCCTGATAGCTGTATACACTGTCAGTGGGAAAGCAGCTGCCCAATAAACTCCAGAGCAAGAAAATACAAGTGCACACTGTATGTCCCATGGGTCATGAAAGGGTTAAAGTATTCTATCCTTATTTGTTTACATGTGTCTTGACCAAAATTTTAATTAGTGCTGTGCTGATGTACCATTAATAATTCAAGTCAGTGGTTCTCAGCACGTGGTCTCCAGGCCAGCAGCACCAGGGTTACCTGGGTACTGGTAAGAAATGCAAATTATCAGCCCCACCACAAACCTCGTGGGGAGTGGGCCCAACAAGGTGTTTTCACAAGTGTGCCAGGTGATTCAGATACACATCCTAGTTTAAGAACCACTAATTTAGGTAAATGTTTTGAGTTTGTAAATTTTACAGTAGTTGAGCAGGCTTTTGCAAAGACTAGTGCTTACACAGTTTAGAACACTTCAAGGTACTGCTGCCAAGTAATTTATGTCAGTATATATACATGTATAGAGATCGTAATTCAGTTCCCTTAATGTTACAATTTCCTTTTGGTAGTATTAGTTTACTTTTTCTAAAGGGCCGTAGCATAATTCTGAGTTCCTAGTGGAAACCTTTTTTTGAAATGGAATATGGATTGCTGTTTACAATAGTGCCTTCATTAGGTTTAGTTCTATCAATTTTCATTCATTATTAACTCAAAGTTGTAAGAACAGGCCCTAATATTTTCTTGTTAGACTTGTTTTTGTTTTTCATGTCATATAAATTGAGAATCCTTTCTGTAAGTGATGACTACTGAGGAGATGATGTTACTAGTAGCTGAATTTTAGATTTGATGCTATGTGATTAATATTCAGTGGAGAAAGCTATTTTGCAAAATAACCAATTGTACTTTTCCATAACTTTCTGAAATTTTAGGCTGTCACACTGTCTTCAAAGGCAGATTTTCTCTTAAATTCTTTTTGTTGGCTATTTTTCAGCACAGCTCTAATTTTTAAATATTTGATATAACAGCTTCTGGCATGTGAACAAATTCATGTTCAAAATTAACTGATGAAAACCCTTAAAATTCTGCTGAACTTCTTTGCTAGAAATAGACCAAGCAGTGAGATATAGAAAACACCGTAACTTGTTAGTTATTAATAGAACTCTAATTTTAAATGTAAAAATCAAGGTGTTTTAAATGTTTTCATAGAGAGTTTGTTATAATGAATTTTAGAAATAGTGTATATCTTTTTCTTCTACACGTCTTTGAACGATCACATGGGTTAAAGATAGAAACTGATACTACTGACAATCAAGCTGCTTGCTTTCTTATTTTCCTATTTTTTTTAACTGTGGATAACATTTTGGGGGTGATAATGATTCTGTAGTAGGAGGAGTTGTAATCAATATTTTTTTAAACTCTAGAGTCCAGAGGTTAATGGAATTTCCACTTTTTTTGTTGTCTTTCTATCAAGTAGCTCATTAAGAAAAAGATTAAAAGCTTAATTCTCAGTTGATAGAAAGATTTCACTTACAATCATGTTTTTTGAAGTTTTGATTTCATCTTGGTTCCTTGAAGGCTAAATAATGGAAAGCGAGAATACAAATTAATATATTGGAGTTTTGCTGAGGTCTGTGATACGGTTATAACATTTTGAAGACTATTAAAACTCATACTTCAACATTTTGTTAAGGTAAAAGCATATATGTGTGTATAGTTTTCAGTTGAAGTAGTTCTTCTGACTTTCTTCCGGCCCCATTTGGTGCTCCTAACCAGCTGAGAGGAGCCAAAGAAGGCTTGGGGCTAGATTCCACAAGACTCAGAGGAAGGATCACGCCTTTCCCTTCCGAGTACAGGAAAAATAAGAGAGAAGAGTAAATTATTTACCTGCTCTTAGCAAAAGCAAAGTCTCACTGAATGACTGCCTAGTCTCTTTTAACTAGTCTTTAAGGAAAATAGACCAGTTTTGGATACCATAGAGCAACATTTATCTATTGAGTACTTGGAAGCAGTTTACTCGAGAGTGACCAGTAGAAGAATGTCCTTTATACAGGGTGTGATGTAGTAAGACCAATTCCCCTGCTTTCTCACAACAATCCATGTAGTCTTACTACCTTATTTCATTACCGTCACTATGAAACAAGTTTACCGAAGTGCCACAAACCTGATGTTAAAAGTTTATAGAGCTTTGAGCATTTAGAGAAGTGTGTCATGAAGTTCTGTGTAAATCTAGATGCACTCCGTCTTTAAGGTACTATAAATTAGACATAGCCCATAAAGTTGGTTTGGAGGAGATTAAAAATACTTCCTTTGATTAAAAGAAAAATTAAACAACTTGGGTTTGCTTATGATCCAAGAGGGAGATTGAAAAGTCTTTCTCCACCCTCCCCCAAAAGTAGAAAAACACAAAAACAAAAACCCCTTTTGTTCTTTACTAATGTGTTAACACTTTTTGTTGCTTCATGCAGTAATTTTCAGTATTCTCTTTCTTGGAATAAGTAATTTATTCAATCTGTTGTAGCTCTGAGTTTGATTGCAAACAAATCCAACTCAATATTTTTCTTTTAAAATATATTTTTCTTTTAAAATATAAACCCTAACCATTATAAACAAAATAAGGCTTATTAACTGAGGGCTTGATGAAGTCCCCACAGATTTCTCCAGAAGCATTTTATTAGAGATCTTGTAGTATTCTGTTCAGGGCCAACCACAGCTTTTTAAATTATAAACCTTGAGTTTAAACAAAATGGCATATAGTTTTCTATAGTTTTGCAACTACAAAAGGAAGGCAATGCAGTAAAATGTGTAGTAGGATAAAGGGGTCAGTTCATTCTGTCTCAACAAAAACTCAGAGGAAAAGAAGACTTTTTTCCCTCTCTTCTATGAGGCTTATCTGATGTTTTGTTAGGCTATAGAAGTTTTGTCAAGTTCCCCAGTCCCTTGGGTAAAACAGATATTGCTGAGTTAATTAATCCCAGAAATAGACTTCTAATTAAATGACTCTTTGTTTTCTTCAGCTTTCAAAAGTGCTGAATCCTCTTATAAAAGAAAAGTTTCAGGAGACTACTATGTAAAGAAAGGTACCCTGATTGTGATAAGCTTTAGAAATTGTTATAAACTGTATCAAATGTCTTCACATTTAAACCAAAAACGTTAGTACACAACCAGTATAGAAGTCTTGTTTGTTTCTGGGTTCTCTAGCACAGACTTTTGTTCGTGGCTTATTTTATATAGCCTCATGTGCCTTAAAGGTGAACTCCATACTTTTGGTTCCAAGATTAGGCTTTTCCAAATTCAAAAATAGTCTGCATGTACTTTGTTTGATAAAATGCCCACAGTGTTGGATAGCAGTAAGCAAAGCTTTTAAATTGAGCTAATCAATGGTTATGAAATGTAAAACTCAACAAAAACCTACTGCTCCTAACATTTCACTCGCATAACTTTTCTTTTGGCTCAGCTAGGTCATTGAAAAACATTGAAAGTTACCTAAAGCATACTTTTATAGCTTCTTTTTTTTTCCCCCCATAAAAAAAGATCATAGGCCAGAATACTTTTTTAAAACCCGATAACATCATGTGAAAGGATAATTTTCATAGTATAGGCAAAGCACTCCAAGAACAGAGATTGTATGGCAAGTTGGTTCTCTTGTTAACTTTAGGAAGTTTTTGCATTCATTTGTGCTGGAACACCTCCCTCCCTACTTTTCCTTAACAAATTACATTTTAACACTTCTATCTTCAAAAACAATGTTTGCTTGTAATTGGGAGAGGGTTGCTTAAAGTTGTTTTATACTTTGGAACATTTGATGGGAAAATCCTCAGTTGTATTCAAATGATACTATTCGTATTGAGCACACTGACATTCAGCATGTCTAAGTTTAGAGGTAAATTTAATCCTTGAAAGGACTATTAGTTAGAAAATAAGTATTTGTATGCACATGCACTGTGGTATTTTGGATTCATTTTACGTCTGGTTTCTAATTTTAGCTTTAAAATAAAATTATGCTAAAGTGGGTGAGAACCATCTGCGAGATGTTTGGACCTAGGCCTCTCTGTCAGCAGAGTATTTGGGACATAATGCCTTAGAATGCTTAATTTTTAGTTCTTTGGAAAATAATTTAATTACTACAAAAGGCTTAAAGGAATATTGAAAGTTCCTCTAACTAATTGGCTGTTAAGAGTAAGAAAGTCGCATGGTGTAGCTGAAGGTCTGCGTTGACTCACTTAAATGTTTTCTTTATTTTTTCCAGTATAAT